GGAGATTGGGTTGATTTGATTTACGGTTAAATCAAGTGCATTTTCATTTGAAGTGGGGTTACGCCCGTGTGCGGGGTCATGCAGGGAGGGGCGTGAATGGCTTGCATGAAGAGGTGCAATGTGGTGGGGAAGGGTCGGAGATGAAAGTGTGTAAGACGTGTGCGGCGTTGCTGCAGTACGACCCTAATAAATTCGAGTGGGTGTTTTAGAGCGTGTTGTAAGGGCGAAGGTAGTCGTGAAGGCTGAGGTAACCTAACCCTATGTATGCGTGGAAGGATATATGGGAAAGATTACGGTTGAAGCGCGTGCGTCCAAATGTCAGAGGTATTTTTCCGTTTTCTCCAATGGTACACTGCCGTCGGGTGCTGCACTAAAGAAAGAGGGATGATGGTGGAGGCGCGTGTCGGGTGTGGCGGGATAGGAACCGCGTCTTCATGTAGTGTAATTTTCTTGTGATAATTGAGGAGAGTATTCAGGGAAATGTGATGGGATAAGTTTCTGAGGCGACAGTGGGGAGGAGCGGATATTATATTTGAGGGGCGTTAAGTTTGGACGTGGGAGGCGTCGAGGCGCCGTGCAACTGCTATCATTCGTAGATAATTGCGGCGATTTTGTTTTTGTATCCTGGCAAGGAGAAGGAATGGGATTTTATGGGAGGAGCTGCGCAAAAGGGTGTTGGCGGGACCATTTATAGAACATTGTGTTATAATCGGGAAATAATGGAAGGTCGCAGGGACCAGGCTTTTCAGCAGGGTACCGAGGTATGAGTGTGAGAGCATTGTTAATGTTGTGAAAGGGGGGGGGAGTGAATTTCATGGGATGGAACGGGCTTCTAGTCTCCGGGGTTGGGTATGCCCAACGGCTGGTTTACTGTGTGTATCTTGTAATGCGTGGTTGAGGAGAAAATGTGTTGTGTGAGTGTATGAGGTGGTGAAGTTATATGTGGTTATAGTGTCTTTAAGTCAGAGTCACTGCTTCATATCTTTGTTGATGTTACATGATGTACCAGTTCGGCAATTGGCCTGGCAAACGGGGTTTTGGGTGTTTGTACCGAGGCATGTTATGCTATGTATAAATGTGTATACTGTTAGATGAGTGCGGAAGATTATGGCTTTTCAAGTTTTTGTGCTGAACTCGTAAGCCTTGTGGTAAGGCGAGTATGTAAACTTTGTTTTATCATGAGATTGTGAGTAGGTTCTTTATCGTTATCGATTATTTGGTTGGTTTGAGTAACCGAGATATTTAAATTTATCATACAATCTTCTTATTGTATTGTATAGTGCATTGGCAAGGTCCCAGTATGATGATGTAAATATGTAGACCCGAAGGGATAAGGTTTTATTTATATTATTGAACCTGCTACAGGGGTCACCCTACATGTTATCTGATTCTTGTTTTGTTCTTGTGTACATAGGGTTAAGATGCCCAGTAGCTTCTTAATGTTATTTTTTTGTCCAAAGCCGCTATTTTCGAGATATCATTGTGTAACCTCTTGTGTTGTTAATATTGTGTTTTTTGCTCTTGTACGTTTCTGAGAGCATTGTTTTCAAAATGTGTTTATATACCATGTGTATCAACCCTATTTAAGGGTTTTATGTTAAGCTATGTATTTATCTTTAAATAAAAAAAAAAAAAAAAAAAACATTCCTGGCGCCATACCCAATTGCGCCGCCAATAAAGCCTCCCAAGTCTCACACTCCGTTATCGCCCTCCGCAACAAACAAAACGAGCATGCTCCTCCAGCCACACTCACATACCTACCGATAGCCACTAGCAATGCAATTTCACTGACATTCCGCACACTATCTGCGTTTTCATTTAACCCAAGCATCTATATACCCACTCATACCCCCTCGTCGTCACACCTGATTCTCTCTATACACCTCATATCCTACCTGATCATTCAACCCCTCATTAACTCATTGGCTTTTGCGACGTCTGTGTTGATTCCTCAACAACACACGTCCCGACGGCCCGCATACACCCCACAAAACCTCTTCGATTCACACTTAAGCCTATTTTCCCCATCAAACCTTCTTCGTTTTGTAAATTTCGTAGTTGCTCCTTAATTCTTTCAATTTTCTATACAGGAAAATTCGCATTCGCTTGTACAATAGCAGCGCGCAACTGCCCCTCTAAATATTCGTTGGGAAACCAGATTTAACTGACTTGAATCTCACTCCCTACTAGATATAATATTCCTGAACTTCGCTTTTTGGCTATCATTTCCCACCAATTACCCAATCCCATCGCCAGTGCTTCAACTCACAAGGCGTTCCACATAGGCCAAAAGACAACAGACTGTTCTCCTTTTCAATAACGTTTACATTTAATTTCCAAAAAGATGGAACCCCCTTCTAGGCACACCCCTCCATCAATCTACATCCATTACAACTCCTCTGTGGGATCCGAAAAACCACATTTATCACATTCAACTCTCCGCATCTGTAATCCACTCGACACGTAGCATCTATCCAATCTCGCCGCCTAATCTCGTCTAATAAATATGCTCCACCAGGCCACCCCCCCCACACACATCCATTAAACCCACACTCGTCAGTTTTTTTTAAATAAATCTCCCGGAATCCAAGCAACCAACCCCGACCCTCGCGAGGCTCCACATCTTTTCGTCGAATTACACAATTCCAGTCGCCCCCTATTATCGCTACATGGTAAACTACGTAGATAATAAACTAATTACATCCTTACAAAATGAGTTTTAAGTCGTACATCTCCCTCGGCCGCCCATATACACCTACAAACTATGTGTGCTCTACCCCATAAACAATCCACCCTATCACTCTCCCCATCGCCCCGTTTCACTATCGGCGTGACTAACAAACGGCTATTTTTCCTTTACCAGAATTGGCGACGCCTCCTTTTAACCACGTCGTCATATTCCATATACACATCATAACCATCCATTTATGCTAACTCAGATCCAATTCTGATAATTGTTGTTCTTGATAAATACCACATCCACATATAACGCACCAAAAATTCATTAAACCACTTTCGCTTCCGCTCAGATCTCAAAACCGTTAAGATTGATTGTCAATCCCTAAATTCATTCTAATGGGTTTTCTTTATTCTAAGGTATAGACATTATCACTTATACATTACACCACCTCCTATCCCTCCCCCCTTTTTTTGGGAATCACCTTGATAAAACCCGTGTTTCGTGGGATTCACTGTTCCCTGTCCTCTGTACATCCGCCCAAGACTGTTTTCCTGGCTTTGGGCAGGAGTAGCACGTCTCTGAGTCTGATGGGTTCGCAGTTTCGCTTCGCGTCCTACCCTCCACCTGCATTGGGATTTCTTTAGTATTTCTATGTGATGCTACCTCCACTTCTGCTACATTTAACCGTCATACATGCGGACACACTAGACTCACATGCGTCCACCGTCCCTCACCATGCTGTTCAACCGCTCCCAAAATTGCACCTGATACCTCCACACGGTTGACGATCGAACTCGTCAAACAAAAAACATCCAGTGCCTTCTCAACTAAAGACGCCAGCCTACATCCTCTTCCCCCATAGTGGGCAGAGGTCTCTTCAAGTTTCTTATTTAATGTCTCAGTTGACTATGATTCTTCTCGCTGTTTTTGCATTCCTCCAAAAACAAGCAGTCTCCTGCCGCTTTTTCTACCTCTTCACCCAAGATGACCTGTTTGTAGAGACGAGATGACATAAGACTGTTTCGCGGTCCCTCAACTTCCTCGACCCTCTTCGAGTTGCTGTTGTGATATTTGAGATTCCCACGACGCTTACCACACTGTGCGCAGTGGTCATACGACCCACACAGCCGACACGTACGACGTTGCCCGCATATGTTACATATACTTGAGTTCGAAATGCTTGCAACATAATATAGGACGTAATCATTTTGACTGAATATGGTTTCTCCAAACTTCCAGCATAAGTCCTGCGGCCCACCGACCTGCAGAGGCCATATGAACCGTACCATAATTACGTAGTTCATCTTTTATAACAAAATCAGTCGCTTCAAAAGGCACATTCTTGATTTTTACCCATGTGTTAGTATCGTGATACATCATGAAGACGTACTGATACAGCTGATTGACGGCTATAATGGTCTCTTGATACTTATCCACCACTGCTTCGTAGACATTTGCTGACGTCATTTTAACGAAAATCCGTGTCGTCCCATTAAGTGCTACACCACATATCTCTTCATTTGCGATACCGTAGGTATCACGGATAATCGCCGGTAGTAACAAATCCATCGTGGCTCCCGTGACAGCCCCACGGGTCAACTCAACGCAAACAGTGTTGATGCGCCTGTTGCTATGCAGCGCCATGTTGGAAAATGAGCAGCACACGTCCTCACTACTCAATGGCTGTTGACGAACTGATGTAGCTCGCCTGAAACAGCAGAGGGGTGCAGAGCACAACCGCACTCTACCGTGGTCAGGCAGCGAATGAAAACCACCATTGTGACAGCCTGGCTAGCACTTGCGCCTGTCAGAGAGGAGTAGTAACGTCCACTCTCACCGGCAGCTGGGCGAGGAATGTAGATAGTCTTTTTAGTATGATAATAAGATGTTATCTTCATTGTAGAATAATAAGAAAATATTATAACCTTTATATTATAATAATAAGGTAAAAGGACCCCAATGGAAATAAGTCACTGTCTGACTTTTTTGGGTTATCCTAGGTTCTCTACACATATGCTGCTATGTATGATAATTCTATGTAACTGTATTTGTGTATACCTGAATAAACTTACTTACTTACAAAACAGGCAAACTACGCAGAAAATCAACTGAATCGGGAGCGCCTGCGCAACACGTCCACACGGCCGGAAAGCGATGAGGACAATTATGCACAATTATTAATGTATACACAATGAATGATCTGATGGTTTAGGTGTAGGGGATGTGGGGAAGGGGAGGGGGGAGAGTATTGGCATGGTGAGGGGAGGGGGTAGTGGACTGGCATGGTGAGGGTAGGGGGGAGAGGACTGGAATGGTGAGGGGAGGGGGACCAGGGAGTCAATAAGGCAGCTTGGTGAGGTGTATTTGTCAGTTCACTTTGCGTCTTCACAACAGTAACACATCCTCCATATTGTCAAGGTTTGTGGTTAATCATAATTTTATTTGTATATTTCCACTGAAAAATATTATTTTTTTATTTTTTAAAATTTTAATTATATTTTTAAATATATACATAGTCTTCTAATATGGGTTGTTAAATATTTTTAAAGACTTTAAATCTATTAAACTCCTTATTTTACTTTTCCCGTAATTCGTTGAACCTTCAGAGTTCCTTTGTACTGACATTTTAGCAGTTCTAACCCTATGAATAGGGAACTTGCTTTCAAGCCATACTGCATAAAGCATTTAATACTTTACTTCTCGTTGCTTGAAGTACTGAAATAACTTTAATCAGTCTTGAAATTTTAATTTTTAATATTCTTTACTTTCTCTTATAGATGGCTGTCAACCTGGTACTCTACATAATAGCATCTCTGGCTCTGGTAGGTAACTCTTAAGCCTCGTTTACCCTGACAAGCTTAAAAAGGCTTTAGTGTGTACCTAAGAAAACCATGTAAACTCTGCCCCCCCAAATAGCTTACTGTTAAGATACATTTTTTTTTTCTTAGCCGATAGGGGTTAGGAAGTAAACTTTAACCCTTGTTTAGTCTTCTATAGTTACGTGTACTTTTTTAATCGCTCGTCTTCCGTAATATTTGTAGGTGCAAGGCCAACGTATCGGTACTTACGAAGCTCATCCTCCCATCGTTGTTCCTACGCAAACTACTTCAACCGTCATTGATCAGGTATTAACTACATTAAAGTATAATTCTGAATACAAACCATTTTCTTTTTATAATTGTACGAATCTTATCCTTTCAGACTACAGTAACTCACACACTGAGGGAAACTACAACATCAGATGTTTGGGTCACGGATCAAACAAAAGTGACGCTAACAGTCACCCAGACTACAACACACTGGGACTTTGTCCCTCAACAACCACGGATTGTGACTTCTGTTATAAGGGTCACTTCAACACCTGTAAGAACTTGCCTGTACTTAAAATTGTGTAATTAATACGTAATGTTGCACTGTAACCTTATTACCTCAATTTCTTCCGCAGGTAGTATTAGTAACTGCTACAGTTGGAGCAAATCCCGTGAGCACAATGGTCTCTATCTTCAGCCAGTTTGTTACTGTCACGGACACAGTTAAATACTGGCAGACAATAACGCATGTTGACGTCACGCACCAGATTCAAACTGTTCCTGTTGTGACTACCCAAGATTTGTTGCAAGAGATCGTAACTACTGTAACCCAGATTGTTACTACTACTGTCACCTCCACAACTGCCCGTTACTACGGTTAACTTCAGTGACTCCCCTGCTGACTTTATTTACTGTTTAAATTCTTGAATTAATATCGGCTGTAAACATTAAAGTTTAAGTCCTAGAAATGCTTTTTAACACATGATTAAACTTCAAGCTTTACTAATTTTAAAGTTTCTTGAATAAGGCAAACTTACTTCCTATAATTTTCCAAACTAAAATAACGAAGTTGGGTTGGAAAGAGGTAAAAATTTGACTAGTTTGGTACTTCATTTTTTTTTTTTTCATTTATCCTTTAAAGTACAACCTTTAATATCAATGTTAGTCATAAAAGACAACACTTGCCTAAAGAACCTAGGATTACCCGGAAGTCGGTGACTTATTGCACTTTGATTCCACTTTACACTATTTTTAGAACTTTGATCCACTACAAATTTCCTAGCAGGTTCCTGTAGACTTTTTTTAGCACTGTATCAGATATCCCATTGTCTGCGTGAAGTTTTGCGCTACCCACGAGTTTGTCGAAAATAAAATTTAACTTAAAATTTTGTTAAATCTACTTCATCTTAGTAGACCTGCAGTCATAATTTTCTTGCGTAGCAAGTTTATTTCTGCTGCAACCTAGAGGTTGCAGTTAATTGCACAGCTTAATGATGCACGTTCATAGAACTTCATTTTTCTTATTGGCTTAAAACTCCAACACGACTGGAGGAAAGATGGGTTTGTACACTCCTTGGGGCAGTTTAAGAGGCTTGATCAGAAATTGGACACTTGGTATCCCTTATCCCGTTTAATCTCATTCACCCCACTCCCCCTCCCACCCCCGTAGTCTCTAGACACCTCGGTAGTCTTACTATCAGTAATAGGTGACTGGCAGCTCCACCTCCCATCACTGCTCTTCGTCGCTCATAGACCATCTACAACACTTATTATCCGTTACTTTCACATACTTTTAAACTAGTCCAGGCACTAGCTTCATTGCCAATATAATTTTCTAATGACTATGGTATCTTGGAGGCTCCAGTGGTAGTCGGTGAGCTGGGTGTTGATCTGTTAAGGCTAACCTAAATTGTGCTGCCGTTAACCCCTTTCTAGTTCAATTTGATTACATTAATCGACCACATTTTTTATTTATGGAACTTCAGTGAAAGTGGAGTTTTAGTATAGGTTTGACTCGTTCATACTTGCCTGCATGTATTAGTTATCTGCTCATACAACCTTTAACTACCAGCCCCTCTACTCTCGGATCACATTAAAAAGTGCATTACTTTTCAGGAATAGCCTGATTGTAGTTGCCTGGGCGTTCATAGCTACTGGCCCTACCTCTTCACTGGTCGCTGCTAGGTCACTGCTCCATGAGGTTTATCTTGCATCTTAAACCTACGTCAGGATCCTGCCCCCATCCCCCCCGTTCAACACTTGCCAGACTGCCACTTAACTGAAGAAATCCTTCAACACCTGTGATCCTTAACTTTTGACCCTTTCCTGCCGTGTCCCGTCTTTAACATTCTGCCTGTCCTCGTTACTTCTATTTGTAATTGTCTCCCTTTCTTCCTGTCCTAAAGTGTCTGGTCTTAACCTTAACCTCTCCTCGTAGGACATGCCCCATAGCACCGGGGCTAGTCTTGCTGCAAACCTATAAGCTTTCTCGGTTTTCTTGCATGCTTGACTAGATGTGGGTTCCAAAATGGTGCTGCACATTAGATAGCCTGTAACATGGTGTACAGGGTCAAGTAATATTAGGATGTCTGAATGACGTAACTAAACTTGCTAGGCGCCCGTACACTGCACCAGTTATTTGGATGTTTAAGTGTCGGGTGTTATACTCGCCCAAAAATCCTTTTCCTCTAGCGAGGCTTGTCTGGGCTCCATACTGTATTCAGTCTCTACCCTTTCCCAATCTTCACGACTATGCACTTGGGATTGAACCTCAGGAGCAAGTTTCTAGCCCAGGCCTGCAGCTTGTCTAGATACCTTTTTCGTAGTAGTGTCCGGTCATCAACTGCATTCTTAACTTCACATCTGCAAACAAGGACAACAGAGTATTCCTTAAATGTCTTTCACAAACTACAAACAGCACAGGTCCTAGCACTGACCCCTGCAGAACACTCCAATCTTGACGCTGTCGCATACCATAACTCATCAACCTGACAAGTATTCCCCATCCCATTGCAGTGTCTTCCCCGTTATCCATACCTTGTCCTCCAGCTTGTGCACTAATCTATTGTACTGTCAAACGCCTTCTTAGTCAAATAGTGCAATCTTCCCACCCCTCTTGTCTAGTGCTGTATGGCAGTTTTGTATATAACTGCTTGTAACTTGCATACTGCTCGATGTTCTACCTAGTTTCAAGGTCTTTTATACTCCATAGGCCGTTTCACATGTTAAAAGTATATAAATCTTACACAAATAACCCACAGAGGCGCTTACGACGTTTCGGCCAGACTTGGACCATACACAAATAACCCGCACATAAGCAGCTTACGACGACGTGTGACTGTCAATGGTCCAAGTCGGACCGAAACGTCGTTGTAAGCTTCTCTTTCATGTGCGGGTAATCTGTGTATCGTTCCAGTCACGGTATTGTGCCTTTGATATTTAGACTTGGACCATTTAGTCACTATATAAACTTTGATTGGTTGTGAACTGGTGATGTTCCTCAAAATATTCACGTGGCCAAGCAGCTCACTTTTTGAGGGAGGGGATAGGGGAAGGGAGGTTCCACGAGCTGTAGTGGTAACGAGCTGGTGGTAGCGTAGATCAGAACGTGATGTGGGTAGGACTGTATGAGTTTTTTGGGAAGTGTCTGTTACCCCCCAAAATTTTTTTCCCTCCGGGGTTGGGGGCCCAATTTTATTTTTTCCCCCCTTTACCCACGCTTCCTTGGGTTAATGGGAAATTTTTCCCACCTCCTTGTCTAGTCCTTTTTGAGTTTTGTTATAACTGCTTTAACTTCCTTTTAAACGGCCGATTTCAAAATGTTTCACAAACTCAAACCCCACGGGGTTAATTAAAATAATTTTTAATCCTTACAACCCAAAAAACCCCCCCCCTTTGGGCCCCCTTACCAACTTTCCCCAAATTGGCAACAACAATTAAAACCCACAAAAGGCTTCCCCCCCCAGTGTGAGGGCTTTTTGGTAAAAATCGAACGAAGTCGTTTTTTTTTAAGGGCTTTTTTCCCCAGGGGGGTTTTAATTGTTATTTTCCAAAAATCCCACGGAGGCCCTTTTAGATTTTAGACGGGGACCATACACAAATAAACTGGTTTGGAGGGTGTGTCAAATTTCAAGTGGCCAAAGCAATTTTCTTTTTTTAAGGAGGGGTTAGGGAAGAGGTTTTTCCAAAACTTTTTTGGTTTTAACGGTGACCCCCCCCCAAAAATACCTGCCCCCCCCCCCCGGGGGGGGGGGGGGCCCCCGGGGGTTTAAAGGGCTTTGGGAAATCAGAAGTGAGGGTGGGGTAGGAGCTGTTGAGCTAAGATAGAAAAAATGCGCAAATTTGGGAAAATACTGTACTAGAAGCTTCATTACGGGGAAAATGCAAAATTTTCAAAGTTAATTTGTGATTGTGATTGTAATATGGGGAATATCATGTTTTGGGCCAAAAAGATCATGATTTTTAAACATAAAGGGAAAATTTTTACAATGTCACGAGGCAAGGAAGGGAGAACATCGTGGTGGGGATGGGGGGGGGGGGGGGGGAAAAGTTTCGGTAAAACGGTAACAAGGAGACCCTTTAAGTGTTTCCCCCCTAAAGGGAAAGGGTTCCTTGATTTTGGTGGGGGGCTCTTATTTAGGGAATTGGATTGTCTCCATTTCCCCAAAATTTAAACCCAAAATGCTTCCACATCCCCCCCCCCCCCCCCCGGTGCTGTATAATCTTGGGGTTTAGTGCTTCCCCCTCCCCCCTTATTAAAAAATTTTTTAAAGTGATTTAATTTTAAAACTTTGAAAAAAACCTCGCAGCTCAAGAGCCAGAATGGAGAGTCGTTTGGATTAAGTGTAAACAAATTTTTAATTTGAAAAAAGAAAGTTTTGCCTTTCAAACTACAAAAATTTCCCTGTAGCAACTTTTTTAAATGTTTTTAGATAAAAAATTTTTTTTAAAAATTTGCCCTCAACAAGATAAACCCTTTTAAGGGGGGGCCCTTGGCGGGTAAGAGGCTCGTCTGAGGAATTAGCCCCTGTCGGTCTTCTTCCCGCCCGAACCAATTCCCCCCCCATTCTCCCCCCCCCTAACACCCTCCCCATCCCCCTTTTTTTTCCCTTCCCCCTCCCCTCCCACCCCCCCTTTTGCCTTCCTTTTTTTTAGCCTTCGTGATTTCTCCCAAGGCGCGCTTTTCCCGGGGTAGGGAAAGGGACACCGGGGTCCATCCCATCCGTTGAGGTTTCTGGGGGTGGCGTAGTTTGCCGTGGAATCTGGATTGCCAGGAGCCCCGATCCCTCTCCGGGTACCCCGGAGTAGCTTTGGGTTTTTTGGGCAAAAGGGGTTCTCGGGAACCACCTTTCGGTTTCCCGGGGGTGGGGGCTAAAGGAGGTATGCTTGTGGCGGATACCCGCCGCCCTTCTTTTGTCCACCGAGGTAGCTCGGAATGTGAGGTTGCACCCCAATTGTGGTTTTTGGCTAAAGGGGAAAGGGGGTTTTGGCAGGGGTTCCTGCGCATCTGCGCTACTGGGGTGTCGGTCCTCTTGGGCGGGGAGGGAGATTTCGGGCCCCTTTCATTCCCTCCTAGGAACTATCCCTCCCGGCCCCCCTTTTTTTTTTTTTTTTTTTATTTTTATTTTCTTTCTTTTTTTTTTTTAAAAACAAAAAGAAGAAGAAACCAACCCATGGCAGCCCTAGCCCATAAACCCGGGTACCCCCGGGCCCCCTTCTTGATACGCACCCCTTTTTCTGACCCCACCTGTCTTTGGACCCTCTTAGACATTCCTCAGCCTCTGCACCATTGCCGGGCTGTTTCCTCACCCGTTCAGGTACTGGGGCCTCGATCTCCTTCGATTTATCAACCTTCGCTCTCCTTGATATGTTTCCCCGGCCTCTCCCTCTGGGTGGGGGAAATTTTTTAAATCGCCGACCCGTTCCCGTCGGCCAACTCTGGCCCCCCCTAAAACGTCAACGAAAATTC